CTTATCGTTATATATGTATTTTTTTGAAATAAGCGGGAATGAAGTTTGAAATAAGATAATATCCAAAACCCATTGTGCTATCGTTTGCGCGAAAACTCAGGTTCGTCGAGGCATCGAAAATCGCGAAAATCGCGCTAGATACCCCATTATCCAATCTACAGAAATCAAGTAAACAAGTCTTCAAAAATATATAACATTACAAATTAATTGCCAAATTAATTAAATTAAGATCGACCTGTACAATTAAAAAATATCATTTATGAAAAAAAAACGTTATTAAAAGGAAAACAAAAAGTGATAATCTTAAATTATCAATGTATTTTTGTACAATTCGTTAAAGGATAAACGAAGAACACTTCAAAGAACAATTTTAAGAGAAAACCTTGAATTTATCGTGTTCTAATTCAAAGACATACGATTATCTTCATCATCATTATCGTCAAGTTACAAGAAGATTATATTCGATATGAAATATCGATAACACAAACGGAAATTAACTGCAGATAAGCACATTCGTGACTAGCATTACTTCGTAAACATTATACAGTCCCTAATCTAAATGACTGCCCATTAACTTTTTAATAATTCCGGCATTTCGTTGCCAATTGAATTATACAACGCGACAAACAGCTCGATAATAACGACTCGAGGAAATCGGAAAGGAGGAACGTAGCGCTACAGTTACACATCGAAAGACACACAGAAGAGAACACCGCCGACCACATCCGGCTTAAATAACAACGTGCACAACGTCTTTTTTTATTCAGTAGCTTTTTTATTGTTTTAATTATAAAGAAGTAACAAAGAGAATAATAATTTTATGATATTACCATACACTCTTTCGCGCTCGTTCTTCTCGCATTCTATCTTTCTTTCTCTCATTTTCTCTCTTTCTCTCTTGCTTTCTCTCTCGCTTTCTCATATATGTATATATATATATATCTATGTTATATGTCAATGTTATATATATTTAATAGATATACTCATTCATATATTAAATATCGTGGCAAATATATAGATAAAGTTCTCGTCTACCGCTCGCACATCGTAGACAGCGACCCTGCCAAGCGACGCGCCGTTTCCCTATTTACCGATCGGCCATTCGCAATGCACCCCATCGTCCCCATCGGAAAACTTTCGGAGAGAGCACCTCGTAGAATCTCTCTCTCTCTCTCTCTCTCTCTCTCTCTCTCTCGCCTCCTGTGACGACGGGACGGGCAATGGGAGGAATAACGAACTCGCTCGGAAAGTTTTCGCGAGAAACGTCGTCGGAGCTGAGCGAAATGGTTTCACCGTTCCTCGGTGATCGATCAATATTGTCACCCAAAACAGAGTTTTATTTATTTATACCTATTACGTAGCTGTGTGCACAAGGAAACCATGTAGGGCGAAACGACAGTTTTATCTCTTTATGCGATCGTGCCGGAATAATTTATTGACGGAAATTAGAGACTCGTCGGATTTCGCTTTCGAAGCTCGAGGTTGTAAACCGGAAACAGTCCGTTCGTCCAGCTCCGCCGAGGGACGGCGATTTTAGTTTCTAGGGTGAGAATCCGCTACTGGACAGTTGCCGGAAGTATCCGGTACGCCAACACACACCGCACAGACGCTATTAGTAACTCGAAATCGTCGTGACTAACCACACACATCGGTGACGAGGACCAGTCGAGGATCGAGGAAAGCCTGAAGCTACTCCTGATGCTTCCCTGGACAGAGTCCGAAATTGCTGTAGATCGTTATCGGGAATACAATTATGCGAGAACTGCCCCCTTGAAACAAGAGTCTCTCTCGTGCGAAGGTATACTAAACGTCTCTTTAATCGTTTTAGAAAAGGCTTTCAGAAAAAGGGATTTTTCAAAATTTTCTCCCCCGTAATACAATTTACTAAATTCGCCTAAACTAAAATTTATAAAGATTTCTGAATTAATGGTAACACGTATAGAACGCCACCGATGAGAGAAGTGGAACGCATCTACAATATCGTTATCAAATTTTGGTGTCGCTACAATTTCACAGGTGTATCCTTATTAACCTGCAGTATATTTTGCGAAAAATCCGTCTCGTTCGTACGCTCCGCTCCGTGGATCGGCGGATGGTACATATATATTTCTATTAGCCAACATTATTTATCACGTTTTTGCACTCAAAGGTCTCTCCGCGGTTTATACATTTCTATCGTAACTTGACGTAATTAAGCGTGAAATTCCTTACGCGATCTCGGTTGTTTCCTTTTTTTTTTTTTGTTGCGACGATCATACACGTCGTTGCCGAGGGAGCGATTGCACTCGCGCGTTGATGCCTGCGATTTCCGCGTAAATCAATTAAAACGCGCGTCCGTTTCGATGGAAGAACGCTGGGTAATTACCGCGTCGAAATTTACGGTCGGGCGTAAGTTCGCGTTAAAGCGCACGCTAAAATGAGCGAACGGAACGAGCGAGAAGCAACGTGCACATCCGCACTAACGGTTTATCGATTTACCAGGCGGCGGCGGCGGCTGCGGCGGCGCGGTTTCAGCGAGCACGATATTACCGTTTCAATAATTAATGTTTAACGCGCGCCGCAAAATCGCAAAGTCTCATATTCCCAGGGAAATTTCATCGCACCGGGGGCACAAAACGAAATAATATCGCGACTTTCAGCGCGCCGAGTGCCCTCGTCCTAAATCGTCCTGATTCCAGGGAGTTCCGATTACCGGCAACGATATTGAATTTCCATTGAAACTCAACGGGACGCTGCGTTCCCGCGTCCGCGACGAGCGAAAAAACGTTTCGCGCTTCCAGCCGAATCAAGCGCCCGTTTAACATATATATAATATATAAAACATATATAAAACACTTTTCTTTATAATCACACATCGAGAAATATCTAGAATATATCTTTTGAACAATCGTATAAATAGTTAATTCGTCGCTCGGTCGACGATTACAGTAATCGCCGTCGGGTGAATCGCCCTCCCCCCCCTCTCTCTCTCTCTCTCCGGCTTTCCTCTGTTCTCCTCGCGTTTTCCTCGCCACGCTCAACTAATAGAAAACTCGACAACATTGAACTATATCGAGAATTATTACCTAGACTATAAAATTCCAACAACTAATTGGGCGCCCCCTCTAGCCAAGAAACTAATGTGTACTAATACCAGGCGCCCTGCCCTTCACCGCACCGTCGATCCTCGTCCTGGATCTCGCTCTTAGGTCGCCGTCGATCTCTTTTACAGTTTTCCCTCGATATTCGACCGATTGGTCCATAGCCGTTCGACATTCAAGTTAAGGACTTATCTTATGCCTCTAATTTATTTAAGGATAAAGAATTTTATATCGTTAAAAAATTACGAATTTTAAACTATCGCTAAATATAAGTTTAAGTGTCTAATTAAGGGCCAATCAGAAGTGCAAAGTGGCCTTTCTTCTATAGCGGAGATCTCCAGTCTCGTTTTCACGCCTCCGAAGGAAATCCGTGACCTACACCGCCCGGTTTCCTGTATCCTTCGACGATCTTGTCGACGGGATCATCGCTCGATCGCCAAGCTACGGCGTCTAGAGCTCGGCTAAACAAAATCTCGCGAGAGACTACGAGAGATTCGCTCGGCCAGCGACGGCGACGTCAAGGGACGACGAGAGATCGACCGACGACGATTTCGATCCAGGACTATCGAATCGATCGGCAACCACCCTCATCCACCGTGCTTGCATGAGAAAACTAAGAAAGAACGTTCACGAAAAATATATACCTCTCTCTCTCTCTCTCTCACTCACTCACTCTTTCTCTCTCGCATCTTGTCGTTGGCTCTTTCTCTCTGTCACTCTCACACTCTCTTTCTCTCGCACACAGACACGCACGCTCAAACGCGAGAATCGAGTATCTCGTTGCTACCCTCCTCTGGCTCTTCTCCCATCATGCGTGAAACGAAATTTCTTGAAACTTCTCGACGGATCTCTTCCAAGCAGCTTTCTAAAAGCCGACTCAAGGATGGAGGCGAATTACATAGCGAAACGACGGCACACGCGAATCGCCGCGCGTGTGTGCTTTTTGATTATTATACTTCAGCGGAGAGACTTATCTCGCCGGTCGCGCGGGTCTTATCGGCGGAAGAATCGTCGCGCGGCGACGTATCGCGCTATCGGCCGAAGCGAGACTCGCGACAGGCGCTCGCTCGCTCGCGGGGGAATACGAAATCGATTGGGGGGAAGGGGAAAGAGGAAGGAGAAGGGAGTTATTTCGTTATGAGATACGAGGCAATTATCTGTCGTAATTACTCAGACTCCGTTGCGGCTTGAATGGCGATTAATTTACATAAGACCGATAGCATCTTACACGCCGCGGGGATAATCCTGCGCGAGGCGCCGCCGCTCCATGCCCCGACCGGCGAGGGACGATAAATCTTTCCCCGTGTGCGCGAATACGGAAATCCAAACCCTCGACCGCGTGAACGTGCACATATGGAGCATTGTCTCTTGTGCCAATTCTCGACGCGGCTAAATGTTTGACTGATCGAAACATTCTGGGCTCTTCTTTTATCTTACCGTTTGTAAGCGAAAAGCATCGTCGCGCAGCAGGCGCTAACACAACCCCTTCCAACTCGTGTTTGATTTCGTATTTTATTTTTTTCGGAACATTACGCTCTGGTGAATTAGTGATACAGTTATACGCGCTCGTGATACAATATATCGTATCCCTGATAAGGGATATCTATATTAGCGAGAGTATGGAAAGGGTTAAACTAAAGCCGCGGTCGAGGGTACACTAGAAGTCTAGCACTGTAACTTTCTCAGTTATTCGCTGTCCGAGCGTGTCTGTTTGATCTTTGAGAAAAATAATATCTGTGATACGCTATTATATGACTAAGTTGCTTGCGAGGTCACCAATCGGTCGCGAGCGATCGGCCCAGGATCGGCGGGCCGTGGCCGCGCTTACACTTCGAAGTTTTGCGTCGCACTACGTCCGCTATAGGTTGAACCAACAGTTAAAGCTCGCAATCCCGACGACACGTATAAAGAGTAGACTGGTACAAAAAGACGGTTGAATTAATTATTTATAAGGTAATGTAATAATGAACAAAAAGCACTGACAAGCTGCAAAATACATACAGAGAGGTACAAATAATTCTTCGGGAACAAATCGCAATCTTCGGGACTGGCGTGTCGTATTAAATTAAAACTTTGCGCCGTGTGTCTGTGTGTATGCACATATGTGTATTCGTGTCGGTTTCTTCTTTTTTTTTTACAAACGTCGCATACGCGCCGTATGCGATTTCTCGTAGTCGTTCGGATAATAATCTTCTTGGCGCCGCTCTCGATCAACGAAAGGACTGTCAGCGACTGATTAAGTATCGTCAGTGTTATAAATTAATGCGTCACGCGGTTCTTTTTTTTTTTTTGTTCCTTTTCTCTTCCTTTCATCATGAACGTTCTCTCGTCTCCGTCGCATTCTCTCATTTCCTTTCTCTCCCTCTCTCTCGCTCGGTGTCTCTCGCTCTCTCTTTCTCTCTCGCTCTCAAACTCTCTTGATTTCTCGTCGTGCGCATAACACTGTTCCGCGACTCTCTTTTGTATGCTTTCGTTATTTATATATGTATATATATAAAAATACAAAAAATAATTTACAAAATGATATTATAAGTTATATTACACGCGAGTTTCGATATTCAATATTTCGTGTCGGAGCCCCTTGTAAAGTCGCTCGACAAATTTCAAGAAACGCTTCATTGTCGCTTCGTCACACTGTTAAACAAAATATAATGTAGCGGTATATGTATATATATATATATAATCGATATTTATATATATATAGGTATGTATATATGTATAATATATATATCTATGTATATGCACGTGTGTCTATCTATGTATATTCACGGGCCGTAAGAAACAGAGAAACAAATTCATTATTAACAGGCTAATGTAGTTATCAAACCACTGTATTATTAACAAAAATATATATTATATATATAATATGGTAGTATATATTTATATATATTATTTCTGACGCGCGACACGCGTGCGCCGGTATATATAATCAAATATCATACAAAAACAACAATAACAAACTATATCAAAAGAAGGGTTGAACGATAATCTTATAAGCGAGCTACAATTATAATATTTATATGTGTATGTATATATATATATATATATGTATATATGTATATATGTATATATTACATATATAGGTAAAATCAACGACGGCATCGTCGCCGATGTTGCGTCTTCGTACAAAAATAAAGGAACAAAATCTAACGAGCCAACAGAAAATACATCTCTAACACATGTATATATATATGTACTATGTAAAAAAAAGAGAAAGAAAAATAAACGGACAAAGAAAAAAGAAATAAAACAAGCTGAGGTGAAAAAAGACCTATATACAGATATATATATAGGCGCGCAGTGTGTCTGTCTCTCTTTTTTTTCGTCTAAGGGGTGGAGATAATAATCATAATCGTAATAGTAATAATCATAAGTGTACGATCTACATAACAATCGTAGGCGTGCAAAAATCATTCGAAAGGATAATTTTTTTTCCATTTTGCACCCAGGAAAAAATTAACTAAGGCGAACGAACGTGTCTTCACACTCCCACATACACATGCACGCACTACAATATAGTTAATTCGCACAGCCAATCGCTCTACCTTACACGCATCTCTCTCTCTTTCTCTCTCTTTCTCTCCCCCACACTCACGATTTTTCTTCTCTCTACAAATGGCGTGGGTTGGGGGGGGCTTTGGAGTAGGGGCAATTAACAGTTACATTTAGGATGCACTTACACGTAGTGTAACGTAATTTTTTTTCGACACCGAGAGTGTAACTTGGGTGGGGTACAAAAAGATCTCGCAGAAACTCTTCCGTCTCCCCGAAGGGAGCGGCCGAAGAAGGGATATCCATCGCTCGTTTCCGCTCGGCGTGATTCGCGACGCGACGAAAGGCAATCTCCCTCGCGGTTTTTTTTACCTCCTTTCCCCTTCACCCCCTCCGGATGTTTACGTTTTCGCTGCTCTTCCTTTCGATCTCCTTGCAAGCCGCGGCCGAGCCGGAAGCGAGCGATCACGCCGATGAGAGACGCCGCCGAAAGTCTTCCGGAAGACACCGAAAAAAAAAAAAAATCGGAGGGCCATTATTTCAGCCTCCATCGTCCGGGCATTTCTCGGGCGATCCTCCTCGGATTTCACCCTTTTAATTTTCTCCCTCAGCGTTCTCTCGGAGATTCTCCGCGAGGCTGCTTTCATCGCCGCGTCCCTTCTTCACCCTTTCGCGCGCGGCATCGCGCGCAATTAGAGATGTGTATGTATATAATATATATATAATATATGTATATAATATATATAATTATATGTATATAGTTTACATTCAGCAAGTAGTTAAAGTATTGAAAAATATATATGTAATTAATTACAAATCTAATTATCATCCTCTTGTTAATTCATTTTACTTGGTAGAATAATCGATAGTTGCTTTTTTTTGGATCTCTCTTTGTGTACTTTGTGTGTGAGTGTGTGCGTGTGTATGTATGTGTGTGTCTCCGTGTGATATCTCCATGCGCGTTCCAGCAGTATCGAAACACGCCATTATTTTTTTCCTCTCTCTCTCTCATTCAGGATGATTCCGAGGGAAGGAGACCGATTCAACGCAGCGCGCGATGGCGTCCTCCGATACTCCTCTCGACGCGCATTTTACACGATCTTTCGGGCTTCCCGCACAGTCTGCTCTCGTCACATATATCCCTCGTATGTTCCGTCGTTATAAATGTAAGAATATATATTATGTCATTATATTGCAGAGTGTTTGTTTATCGCTACCTTACACGACGTTACCACGGTTATTTGTATTTTTTTTTTGCCATTTATTTAAGAGACAATATCAATCGCTATAGTTTATAGACACATGATACTTTAAAGACAGATTACTGACTTCTTTTTTTTTTTGTCTTATTAATTCTTATGTGTACCCGAATGACACTTCGAACGTGTGTGTGTATGTGTATGTGTGTGTATGCGCGCGTTTGTACGTGTGTAACTCCTTTTGACCGTCCGTCTGTGTGTAACTTTATGGACCGTGTGTACTTAAGTGTGTATTTGCTGTCTGAACTTTCCCTTTCAACGAATTACATTCATTACGGGGGGGAGGGGGTATGGAAAACTATGCGTAACTTTTTTTTCTTTGCTTATACAAAGTGTTCATTACAATCGTATCGTAAAACGTATAATACTATATGTTTTTTTTGTGTATCTCAATGTGTATGCTCTATCAGTATTAATTAGATTCACTTAACTTCTCTTTCTCTCCCTCCCTTTCTCTCCCTTACTCTTTCACGTTGATTCGCGCCGCCCTATTCGCGCCCCGCTGCGCACTATACGCGCGCGCACGCGCGCGCGCCTCTTAGTTTAGTATTCCCCCTTTATTCTCTCGTCTCTTTAGTTTCACTTTTGTTTGTTTGTTTTGAAGAGTATACATCGTGTTTGATTCTTCGCTAATCTGAGCCTCTCGTCTCAAGCCGAGATCCATTTGATTCGCGACTTATTGCATTGAGTTGCCATTCTTTTCCGCTCTCCGTCTCTCTCTTTCGTTCCCTCGCTCTACCCTCATCGTTTCGCATTTTGCGCTCCGTCTTCTCCTTCCGCCACCTCCGTTTCCGTCGCCCCCTGGAATTCGTCGGAGCGCGAAACTTTCGGACCGCGTACCCGACCGTAAGTCGTCGACTTTTATAAACGCCGCGCCGCCCGGCCGACCCGGTCGGTCGCGTTATTCGCATTCGAGTGCCATTCGAAAGTCCGGACGAAACCCGTTTAAAGTCTGCGAAGTTTTCCGCGGTCGCAATGATTTCGAAAGTTTCCGCCCGGCGACTTCCTTTCATCGCCTCCTCGGCTTCAACCATCGTCGTCGCTGTCCTACGTCCAGCTGCCTCAGCTGTCAGCGATGTGCGACCGCGGGCTGTCGAAACTTTCGCGATCTCACGGAGAAAGAGTTCTCTCTCTTTCCCTTTCTCGTATGCCCGTCCGGGATTTCCCCTCGCGTGCGAGACGTTATTTTTATTCCGGATCGCGATGCGAAAAACACAACCGATGGATTTCCGATCTGATTTTCGCCGCCACAAGGTGAAAAATCCGCGCCGCTTGTGAAGCCGATCGTGCGCGAACGATTTAGAAAAATTACAAGAATAAACAACGTCATTTGTGTGTTCTTCTGACAAGACGCGATCGCGACGTAGGATCTCGCGCGGGGCGACGGAAACGAGGAGCGCCTGCACATCGACGCGAAAAAAACAAGACTCGTAAGATAGACTTTGGATCTAGTTTTGCGAGGCTCATTGACAGAACGCGGTGCGAAACTTGTCTCGATGCACAATGACTCGAGTGCGTATCATTGAAAGGAAAATAAGTTACAAGTAACTTTACAAGTCCATTTGTAAAATTAATATTACAAATTTAAAAAAAAAAACATGTTGACCTCCTTTCAGTCACTAATTATTCGTAAATTCATAATATTTTCAAATATTTTTTGTAACTTTAGTAATCAAAGTGAATGTATTTAATTGATAAAATGATCGAAATCGATCGAGTGAAACATAAAATATTACTTGCGGCCACATGTGATGCAGAAAAATCATATGTAGAAGTCAAATCACGTGAGCGAATGTCGACACGCACTGAGGCACTATGCTGTAGTTCGATTTTTCCAGCGGCATCCCCTCCGGTCCTTCGGTCGTCCCTACCTTATTCGCATCACTTTCTCTTTAACAATAGCAGGTACTAGCATAGCTACCACAGTCGTACGTATCGTTATAATAGTTACAATTAAGTTTAGATATTACTAAAGGGTTCTGTTCTTCAGCGTCTTTCCAACGTCTACTTTAGTAGTTAGTTTCCACGATTTAAAACTTGTTTCGCACCCCCCGACCCGTATCCGGAGACCACCAATCCCGCCGACCAAACCCCGAGTGTTCGTGCCGACGCAACTTGACTAAATTTCCAACTACAGCTTTCGCTTTGGACCGAGGTATCGTGTAAAAAACGATTCTTCAGCTTCCCGAGATTCGCGACCGACGAGATCGAAAGTTTCGGCGCGGTAAGTGAGATGCAAGTCCATTATTTAGGTACGATCCCCGAAGATTTAAAGATTTAAGATTCTTACAAATCACGAACTCGCCCCGAATCCTTCGTTTCGAATGCGTTTCCGGTTAAGGGAAGGTCGTCCGGCATCGATCTCGTTTCGACGGCCGCGGCCGAGCGCGAGGATAAATTTACAAAAAGGCTTATACAAAAGTCCGTAAGAAAGAACGACTAAACATACATACATACCTAGAAATTACGCGCTAGAACATTTACACGTTACGGCTACGAGAACGTCGTAGAAATTAGTGTCTAAGGACAGGACGCGCGCGGACGCGGCTGATCGGTGAGAGACGGATCGAGAGTCGGCGTCTGTGGTCTCCGGATTGTCCTCGGGCCCGTATATCCTTGCACTTTGTCCCACGGCTACAGGATTAACACTTTTGAATACTTTTAGCACCTAGTGCCCGCGGCCCGCGGCTCGCGGCACCTCCGCCGCCGTCACTGTCACGTGTGATAGTCGCGGGATACTCGTCGGCGAGGCTCGGCCGCCACGATTGATTCGCGAATCAAGTTACACGTTTCTATGGCTAGAAGACGCAAACGACGGGAGATTTATCGCGAAATAATAATTTACGTGAAATTTTCACGTAATTATCAAATTTCGTACGAGAACGTTACTATTTTCGTCTCGAGGATTGGCGTAATCATTATTTTAAAAATTACGAGGCATATTATCGAATTAATTCAAAGTACATAAGATCGGAACAATCGCGCGCAGTTTGTACTTAGAGATGGATCGGAACGATTTTGAAGCTACGACACGGAACACATGGAGCGTGCTTATTTTAAAACGCGACCTGTAATTCTCTCCTTTTGTAGGCTATTTTTGAGAAAGGAAGACGGTTTCTGACTGACGAAAGTGGAATTTTCGTTGTAAAGCGTTATCTAAATATTTACTTTACACTAAAAAGTGACGTAGCATTACGAAGCGAAGCTACGGTAGCGTTTTACGATGAACACCCTGCAGTTCAGGTCGTGCCGGCCAAAGTTAAATCGCGAAAGCCAAGCCTCTTTAGAAAATCATTAAAGTAGGTTCGTTAAACTCCGGGGGAGATAAAATAGCTGCATGAAAATTTAGTGCTTGTCTTAATCATAATACATTGAAAGTAAAGATCGATATTTTTTTTTGAAACCGGACGAGCCCGTCGCCTCGCCGACAAGGACAATAACGCGCGGCCTTTTAATTTTACGTAATCACCTAATTAACCTCGTGAACGCTAAGCGACGACGTTGCTCCCTCGAAACTAACAATATATCCCGCCCGCCATTCATCCCCACTTCTGTGATTGACTCTCGTTATCTTTGTACTTGACTCTTTTTCTCAACATCGTAAAGCTCTGCTCGATTGAGAAAAGATATACTATCGAAAGGGATCGATTACGCTACAAATCAATCGTTAAACCACTAATTAATGTTTTCACATTCACGGTAATTTATCTCAATTAATCGACGAAGATCTTATCAGCTGCTCGTAGACTTGTTCTTATTTACGAACGATTCGCAGAGCCTTCGCGGTGCGCGGCGGCGATCGGAAAATAATTAGAAAGAATTTCCGGGTTCAAAGTTTAAACGCGTAGCGGCGAGGAGCGTATTGCCGAGGTTTAACGATTCGAGGAGGTTTCCTCCCCCCCGACAGCTCGGAGGGTCATCGACTCCGGATGTCAAATCGAAAGGCAATATCTCGAAAGGAAATCGATTCCCGATGGTTTTTCTGCGGCGGACGGGCGGGCGGGGACCAGCTCGCAGGCGCAGCCGAGCAAATATCGAGGGGCCTGTGCAACGAGGCCACTTACGTCCCTCGCGAACACACCGGCTGGCTCTTTTTCTATCTCGCCTTCTACTTCTCCTCCTCTCCTTGCACATCACTCGCTGCACTCTCTTTCTCTCTTTCTTTCTCTCTCTCTCTCGCGCTCTCGATTTCTCCTACATTCTACTGCATTTATTATAAAAATAAAATGTAAAATCGTACCGAGGACGAGTTTTCCGAACGGTATAAAACTGCGAGCTCGTTTCTCTCTTTCTCTACATTATCACTATACTCGCGGAAGGATCGATCCTTCGTTCCTTGATCGCGTTGTTCCTTCTCGTTTTATTTACTCGTCTCGTGCGAGTGAACGGGCCGTCTTCCGTAGATTCTTTTTTAGTTTTTTTGTTTTCTCTTGTAAAGGTCCTCCGCGCGGGGAAAGCTATCCGCGATCCGATCTTCAGCTCGTTTTAAAGAGCTTTACGTATTTAGTGCCTGAATAGCTTTCCGCGTTCGTTCGGGATCGCATATCCGACCGCGAATCTCGCGCGAAACGAAGCGACACGCGGCGCCGCGCGTCGCCTCGTATCGGCGCTCGATCGACGGGGAGAAGAAAAAGACTTGGAAGACACCTTACCTTTATCGATCTTTTATCGTGGCCACGGATCTCCCAAACACCGACGGCTCGCTCGCGACACGAGCTGGGGGACAAGTGTGTAGTTCCTACCGTTTCGCGAGAACCCGGTGAAGAGTGAGTGCATCTTGAATATAATACATAGGCTCTACAGATATATATTCATTATTCAATTCTCCGACTATATACCAGTGAAAAAATAAATTATTACACGTTGGTAATATCTGTGTGGGTATCAGTGTCGCGTATATGTGGTTTTCCTCTTTTTCTTTTTTTTGTTTCGTTAATATCGTACGTGTATGTCTCGTGCATGGATGATGCTCGCATGTGATGTGTGTGTACATGTGTATGTGGTTGATCTACGTGTGAGTTCGTATGTATGGGATGTATATAAGGGAAGATCGGTATAATATGTATATCTGTGTGTTGTGTGCTTATATATCCCTACTAATGTGTCGAGTGTGTCTACCGTCCCAGATGCGCGCTCGACGCGTCGTTCGAATGCGCTACATGCATGCGGTATACCTTTGCGCGTGTATATTTGTGTGTGTGTGTGTGTGTATATATTTTGTGGGTATATGTGTGTCACAAGTAGCCACACGATGGCTTCCGTCTCGAACGAGCGTCTCGCGCCATCGCCAATCGAGTCCTTATCGGGTTTTAACACATACACGCTCTCGTTAGCCGTTAGCCGCTTCCTTCCGTCTCCTCTTCTCTTCTCCACGCCTAAAACATTTCTGCACGCACACGCTATCTCGCAACCAGGCGTACCTCAGAACCAGGCATCGTCTCCACACGCACACGCTAATCTCTCTTTCTCTCCGTTCTATCGCGCCTTTTTTTTCTCATCTCGCTTTCGTTATCGGTGCCGATCGTTCGGCGGTCATCTCTCTTTCTTTGCTTGCTCTCTATCTCACCCCCATTCATCGGTAGCTATCGATAATGTATAATATGTACATAGTATCTTGGATTCCTTGAGTTAGGAAAGATCGAACGAAAGAGCGTTCTGAGAAGCGTCTGGATGGGAATCGCGGGAGAGGACAAGTAGATTACGCGAACCGTAACCGGCTGATGAAGGGAGGAGAGATAGAGTGGGACCGACTCGACTGATGGACGTTCGTCTTCAGGAAGCCGGACTCTGGACAACTCCGTCTCGACGACGGAGCCTCGGAGGCGACGGCCTTCTCTCCTTCTTGTACGCCGCCGGGCCAGCGGCACCGAGAACGAGAACGCTGTCACCGCCGCCGCCACGGGACGCGGTGGCGGTTTTGTTTACGACTTGATGTGCACGCGCGAGGTATTAGTTGGCCACGAGCAGGTGCTGATATTGGCTGGCCGGATAGGGCGCGACCGAGCCGAGGCCGAAGTTGTTGAGGCCCTCGACCAGGGCGCTCTTGTCCTGCTGCTGCGCCGCGGCGGCCGCGCCGGCGTTGACGTTGCCGTTGGTCGTCGCGGAGCCGATTGGCCCGAGGTTACCGGCGCCGGCGCTACCGGCACCCTGGGTACCGGCCCCGGCGCCGGTGGTGCCGTTGACGGCGCCGCCGGTACCGGCGCCGGTGCCGTTCATGCCGCCGCCGTAGAACTGATGGCCGGCCAGGGTGGTCGGGTCGAGGTACGATGATGGGAACTTGGTGCCGGCATAGAGATCGGCCGGCAGGTAGCCGCCGTGGCTCGCCGACGAATCGAAAATGTTGCGATGGGGGAACTGCGCGTGGTACGCCGCCGCGGCCGCGGCCGGGCCGTGTTGGAAGAAGTACGCGCTCGGGTCCGCGTGTTGCTGTCCAGCACCGGTGACTATGCTGCCGGGTGATAGGCTACGACTGCGCGGCGAGCTCTGCGAGACCGGCAATCCCGCGCCGGCCGCGGTCGCCTGTTGCTGCTGCTGCTGCTGCTGCTGCTGTTGCTGCTGCTGCTGCTGCTGCTGCTGCGACTGGTGCTGCTGTTGCTGCTGATGATGGTGGTGATGGTGAATCTGCTGCTGCATCGCTGCGCGCTGCTTTATATAGTTCGAGAACTCGGTGGGTGACATCCTGAAACCGAGCGGTACCGTGCGGTTCATCAATGGATCTGTACGTATGCACGCGGGTGCGTGGATCCGGGAGTGGTTGATCGTCTCGCGGCCTGGTTAGTACGCGCGTTTTGTTCTGTCGTGCTTTTGTGTGTGTGTATATATGCGTTTCGGAAACGGGGTAAACGCGCGCGCTAGAAATTAAATTTCTATCGGCAATGTACGATCTTCTACGATAGATCGCACGTTTCGTTATGCGTTATATTCTCTAATTTCGAGCATGCTTAACTATTTCTACGGTTATTGTGCTGCGAAGCAACTATCCACCTAATGGTGATCCCACTGTTCAATTTACTTTTTATACCGCGGGAACTGTAACGTTAGTTTCTAATGGTGGTAAATACGTGAAGGTATACCTGGGACAATTGCAAGCAGCATTCCACGAATACACATACAAATTGTGTTATCTAGGAAACTCGAGAAGTGTAACGTCGAAAGACGTTAACAATCAGTTTTTGCAATGTTTTTATGAATAAACTACGTGTAATTTGTTAAATGTTCCGTTCAATTGTCTTTTCAATGCGACACTCCTCGATTAGCAACAAAATTCAACTGCATCACATACAACAAATCTCTATCGTAATAATTATATTCGTATCAATATAAATAAGAAAAGAAATAATAATTTTTACTACAAAAAATTCTGTTGCATAAACCCAAGATAATCATCACATTATTTGAAAAATTAAGATTTATTTGTATTCATGTGACTGACTTTTACTGATGAAATCAAAACCATTTGTCTTCAAACATCTCAAAGAAATAAATTTTATTTCTATAATAACAGCAAAGAAATTAAGATAAGCGATCATTGCTCTAAAGTTTCATATAAGCTTGGATAATAAGTTGGATTCAATTTGGCTAATCGAGAAAGAGGGGGAGGAATTAAACATCAAACGACATGTACCAACCTGTTGGCGCGTTTGCTGCTAGTCTTGAGCTTGGTGCTGCCGAACTTGGTCTGGGCGAAGGTGGCGGTGGTAAAGGTGAGCGGGGCGGTGGTACGCGGGATGAAGGCCGGTACGGGGCTGGGCGAGCCCTTGAAGGAGCTGGTGATGGGCGTGGGTGAGGGCGCGGACGAGGAACCGGATCCGTGGCCGTTCTGCTGGTTGTTGGACGAGCCGTTGCTGGCGTTGCTGCCGAGGGAGCTCGAGAACGGCGAGGTTGACTTCGGGCTGAGGCTGAGACCGCTCAAGGACGTGCTCACGGCCTCGATCGGCTTGAAGCACTGCGCCTCCGGGTTGAAGGTCTTGGTGACCTCGCGATCGGCCGAGGTCTCGTCGTGCGGGTCGCCGGTCTCCGAGTAGAGGATCTTCACGGCGTTCAGCTCGCCGATGCGGTAGCTCACCTCACCGGGGTCGACCCAGACGGCGAGCTCGGCCGGCAGATTCTCCAGGATGTCCTGGATCGGCACGCCGCTCTCCTTCGCGGCGCGCTCCAGCACCGGATCGACTGGGTCGCCGGTCTTGAGGCACCTGAACGCCGAGCCCTTGAACGGCTTCTCCGGATACCAGTGGCCCTTGAACTTGTCCTTGAGCGCCTTCTCGAGCTCCTCGCCGAAGATGTTGACTCGTCTGCGCGGCAGTTTATTGTAGAGATACGATATCACGAAGTTAAGCGCCACCTGCACCTCGATATGCATCTTGGCCTTCGGTGGGAGAATCTTTGGGCTGTTGTCGTCGCACGTAGCGGCCGCGCCGGGGTAGCACCGAGGACGTCCGCACGATCGGCCGTCTTGCCACGGGCGGGGGATTGTTCCGGGTGGTGGTATATGCCTGGCTAACGGAACTGCCGGACGCCGCCGACGCTCCGCGATCCGACGGCCGATTTTTTCAGCGCGCGCGGACTACCGTCTTGCGAGACATAAGTTGTGAATGTCCGGGGATCTGTAACATCCACAAATGGAAAGATTATGTTAGATTAGAAATGTATCCTGTATGTATATTGGTCACATCTTCAGAATTCTTCTAATTTCTAACTTTTGTTTTTTGATAAAAATTAATTTAAGATATATATAGAAACTCTCATCACATCAACGCAGCCAAGTCAATAAATTCCATGCGCAATTTCGATTCAATCGCAAACGCATTTCGGGACATCTATTCTACTCCTCAGCTTCGAATCTTAATTACGACCCTCCGATTCGCAAATGAATGGCGAAGTTTGTCGACTGCCGAATGGGAATATTATCGCGTGGAGGAGCGGCGCCTGCTCGTACGCATTATCAGAGGCCGACAATAGCTAGATCGTGCGCCCCGCATCCTCACCTCCTCCCGAATTGCATGTGACGATCGAGAGGTATTTGTCGTTCATGGCGGGGATTCCGTGCGAGGGAATGCGAAATCGCATCAAAGGAACTCACTCGACTATCGCTTAGAAAAGGGCTCGCCTCAGCCAGCTCTCGGTCCGATCGGCGTTATCGGTTCCTTTCGCGAGCGAGGTTCGCTCATTGAAATGGAACGCGGCATCCGGTTACTCGCTTCGCCCGTTTCTCGACCTCGCCGGCTCAGGGAAACAGAGCCGGCTGGCGGCTCGTTCTCCGTCGCCATTTTCCTCGCACCGAGAAGCGTCCGCGAGGAATAATGCCTTGGAAGCCTCGCGTGATTATCGATAAAAAGCGGATTCCCCGAGAATCTCTCAAGAATTACTCTCATTCATAATTTAACGAGAAATCAATCAGCTTCTTCATTATATCGCACGTAATTCAATCCGTTTCTGCACGTGTGTGAGTTTAAAAGTGATTTAGAATCACGTGCTCGATGAGGATATTATAGAGAACTATGTTGTATTATGAGAACTATGTTGGGAAATCAAATAAAAACGTAAAACGTTTATTTTTTGAAGTATCTCTAATGCGTTACGCTAAGTGAAATGAATGTTATAGACGATTTGGTTAAAGGACGACCGTACAATTGCAATTAATTAACAATCGACACTAAAGTTGATTCGTTACATGAATCGCTTTGTTGAATTGCACTTGTCGTCTCTTACGAGCTGACGTATTGAGACCGTCAGGTACGCGCGGTGGTTATTTATAGGAGTAGACCAATTGAGTTTTATACGCGTCCGTTTCATCTTCATTTTCGCCACCGTTGACGTGACGCCTGAATCAAGCTCTCGCGATTCCGTCATTCTTTTACGTTCCCGCGTTCTTTTTTATGTTCGAGACTGTTTACCGCGCGTCGCCGGGCGGTTCATCGCGTAAATCATGCACTTGAAATTTTCTCTCCCTAGCAAATATTCCCCACTGACGCGATCTTGACGCGGAAAAGGTCACGGGGTGAGAGATCGATTGTCGGAGCTCTACTTGGCAAAGGTGCCGGAGTTTTTGCTCCGAATATAAAATTAGGAGCGTTCGGGCCGGCCGCGAGCTGGGATTTCGGGGGAGCAGTGGACGCAAATAGATCACCGTTAGAATGCGGCACGTCTTATTCATACTTACGTAAACAGGTCTTGAGGACGCGGCCCGAACTCATCACGGATGAACGAATAAGGAAGTGATCCGTGAACAGGAATTCTTCCTTTTACACCTTTGCGTAATATATCGTAATACGCCCGTTAATAATTAATCTTTAACGAGATAATTTTAAGGAAACGAGAAAATCTCGTAAAGTTTACATAATTTATTAAGAAAGCACTT